AATTTCTATGGTCCGACTATTTGTCATATTCGACCCCTTCGACAATACTCATCTTACCTTTTTATGTCTTTGTGTCCGTCTGTCTATCTCTTTTACCTCTGTGAATCATTATTCTGTCTCCCATCTCGACTTTTTGTCACCTTGATGTTCCTTCTCCTCTCTGTGAAGCCCCGAAGTCAGCTCCAGGGCTAATGATAACTATCAAAACGCCTGCCATTTGATATAAATAAATAAATAAAGATTCTAAAAGCAAATTATTAAGTGGTTGGATACCTTTTCCTTGATCATTTCTCTCTACCGCCAACCAGAGGTGCGTTTCGTCTTGTTGGTAGCATTGGCCAGACAAATATACAATTGTAATCGTTCAAAGGAAGAATATTCAACACAGTGGAATGGACATAAGGTTTGAACTCCAGTAAGGACCTCAACTCAGAAACAAGTCGCCAAAGTTGTATAAGTTGGTGTCTGTTTGTGGGGGGTTGGGGGTGATCAAATGGAAGTAGAAATGATCAAAAATGCCATTAGTGAGAGAAATAATGCAATCAAGACGCCATGGTTATGCTGGTGAATTATTGTTGCAGCACACAGCAAAGTCGAACAGCGTCTCTGAAATGAGTTAACACCCACTTGAGCGGAATTCTAGACATTCATTAGAAAGGATGTTTTGCAAAGAAACAGCCTGATTACCGTTAGGAGGACTCTCGCATTATTTTGTTCTTTTTAATGTATAAAATGTTCTACGATAGGTCCACAACACGAGGCGAAGATGACTACCGAATGATATTTGAGAACTTTGTGAATGATCTCCTCTTAACTGTGAACAAACCAGAGTGGCCATCCGCTGAAGTTATGTTGAGTCTCCTTGGTAGGCTCTTAGTTCAACAGTTCAACAATAAGTCCCTCGACCAATCTGTTCGGGTTACCAGTGTAGACTATCTCGGTACAGTTGCGTCAACGCTTCGTCGAGATGCTGTGACGAGTCAACTGAAAGAACACGACATTGACGTTATTCTTCGAGAACTCACCGAAGGTAGTCAATCAGATAGTGAGGACGAAGAAGAAGGGGGAGGGGAACAAGAGAACGAAAGTCACAAAATCGTTGCTCCTGGCGCGACCAAACCTTCGCCAACACTTTCATTAAAATCTCATGAAGTTTATTTATTAATTTATGACAAATGACAGGCGTTTCGATAGTTATCATTAGCCATTTAGTTGACTTTGGGCTTCACAGAGGGGAGGAGGAACATCAAAGTGAGAAGAAATCAGTAGGGGGAATAGAAGAGCGATTCACAGATGTAAACGAAACAGACAGACACAAAAGCTCAGAAAGGGTAAGATGAGTACTGTTAAAGTGGTCGAATATGACATACAGTTGGGGGTGTTGGTTATTTAAAGTGAGAAGTCAACTGCCGGTTTATAGACTTTTTGCCGTATGATTATACTTTGCACCACGTGGAGAGGTATGTCTATCGAACATCCCAGATCTCATGAAGTAAAGTGGTTCACCTCTCCATATAAAAGTTGCCTATTTAATGTATTCCTCACGTGAACACATTTTTTTGTTAGTTCTGAAAAGTTGAAATGAACTTTTTTAATAGGAATGCAATTGATAAACCAGGGGGACAACAAATAAAAACATTTAAAAAATTGTAGTATAAAGAAATAACGATAATCCCCGAAACTGATTAATTTTCCATTGGAAAACACGAAAATGAATGCAACTTTTGCCATCACATGTTACGCTTTATTTACTACTAACATTTAATTACACGGTAAGGTGTTTGGGATCAAAATGCAAATTACAACACAAAATTGTCAAAGTTTCTCCCCTTCTCTGTTGCGTAATTAGTTCAGTTTCCACCTCTATGGGGCCCTAATTACTGCCGGGGTTTTCGAAAAATCCGCCCAGGGCGGTTAAACGGAAAAATCCATTTATTGAAACTATTTTTGGAACCAAATAACCGCCCACCCGAATAAGCCCCCATGGGTGATAATACAAAATTAAAATGCTTCACTTAAAAAGAACAAACATATTTATGTATGCTTCCATGGGCGCTTATTCAGATGGGAGAACTTTTGGAAAGCCCTGGGTACTACTTAGACTCCCGAAAGTGCAAGGGATCTAACTTGTCGATCAAACCACAACCCACTATTGTGGAAATAAAGTACTTTTCCGTAGTAGTGGCGATGGGGTGGATGATTGACTGACAGGCTGACCGCGATAGTGGTGGCAACGGTAAAGTCTTGCCTTACCAAGTCCATAAATCAGTAGTTAAGTCCATGGGGGGGACGATAAACTTACAGGTGCACTTTGCGTACTCTATCAAGTGCACTGAAAATAGACGATCTGGCCAACTAACAAGTAAATTTTCGGACCCGATTGTACGATGCCTACTGGGGGTGGAGGGGGGGGGTGATTCCCGTCCCAAAACGCCTAATTGGCACCCAGTTAGGGATGGAAGGTGAAAGGGGGGGGGGGGGGGAAGGTAGTGGGGAGAGTTCTAGCAACTACTTGTCTCAGTTGCTCCGATTTTGTAGTTAGGTTTTTTAATCTGTCATAATCGATCTATCCGTGTCTTATCAATCGAGCCTAACCTACTAAATAGATTTGAAGCTTTAGGCTTCTCAGTTTTCATTATAAAAATTTGCATAGTCTATTTGAAATGTCCACGAAAACAATGTCCAATGACCGAAGTACAGTTTTCAAAATTAAGATTCCATCAATGTTTATTAATGGGGTGCGCAATAGACCTACCTCCACGTGGTGCACCCTGGGCAACGTATACTCATACGGCAAAAAGGTCTAGTGATCGGCAGTTGACTTCTGACTTTAAACTACTATGGCCCGACTATTTGTCATATTCGACCCCTTCGACAGTACTCATCTTACCTTTTTATGTCTTTGTGTCCGTCTGTCTGTCTCTTTTACATCTATGAATCCCTCTTCTGTTCCCTATCTCGATTTTTTGTCATTTGATGTTCCTTCTCCTCTCTGTGAAGCCCCGAAGTCAGCTCCAGGGCTAATGATAACTATCAAAACGCCTGCCATTTGATATAAATAAATGTTTATTAATTGCAAAAAAAAGTTTATTTTATTTCATACCTTACGTATTCAATTAAATTTAAATTCGGAACTCTGAGATCAAATAGGCAACTTCGCCTATATCACATGTGTCCTTAGACAGCCATGACCCCATTTTAAGGTCAAATGACCTTAAATAATGGGAAAATGTGCACGATGTGCATAGATAATGGTTGGGGGGGGGGGTTAGCTTTTATTGTCAAATCGACATTAGGTTGCCATATACCAGATTTGTAACCTGTTAGCTTCAAATTTTTCAAAAATACATCGTTTGCCCAAAGTTAAAAAATGCTAACTTCTTTCCTTAAGCTCATCCAAACTCGTTGAAAAGAGGTCTTGTTGAATCTCGCGAACACCGGGCTAAAGCGTCCATAAAAAATTCGACTTCAATTTCTCCCTTTCTTACCTTGATTTCCCGTAGTTTGGGGAGCTAAGTTTGACCTAAGCCATGGAATGAACTTTAATTTATTTCTGGAACAATTTCTGGATTTACTCTTTTCGTTTTTCGTTTTTTTTTGGTTAATTGAACCTCAATCTTAATAAAAAAACAAATCCAATTCATTGTAACAATGTCAGTTGTTAAGTTTAAAATGCTATACTTTATTACAAATACTGTTTTATCAAAAAAGTAAAAAAATTAAAAATTGCTCAAAAAGCTAAATTTTTTTCTAGTATTTTGAATCGCAACTTGGAAAGTTGCACGAATTTTATTGCGGAAAAGAAGACGCTTTAGACAGAAACTTCTATGCCGATTTTTATTAATCAGAAATCAGTAATTCAGTGAACTATACAATTATAGGTTTAAAATTACATTAGTAGGCGAGTTTGCCTGCCAACACAATACTTAGACGTAATTCGGTCCACTCTTTAGGTCTAAACTTAACTTCCTTATACAACTTAACCTCTAAAATCGTTATTTAATAGAAAAGGGAATTTTCGTCATTGGGTAACGATTATAGGGAAACGTTCATTACCTTCTTATTTAAATTAATAGGCTGTCAAATAAACCTACTCATTTTTGGGGAATCAGAGATCTTTCTATCTCTTTAGGTATCTTAATTACATATCGAACCCCTTATCTTATAATTTGACTTACTTTGAAATGATTCCATTAATGATTAGATTTATAAGTAATCTAGTTTAAACTATTCCCCATTGTTCATTTTAAAATCAGCTGAGTGATTTGTATTTTTTTCGTATTAAAAACCTACATTAACATTCTGTTCCTTTATCTACTCCCATTCACTTCCCTATTATTTTAATTATAAAAAGTTCTTGTCATAAAAATTTCAAAATTCTTCGCGCAAACTTGTTTTTGGCATGATTGGCCTGCTAACAGTGAGGGAAATAAACCAATGAACGGATAATCATTCAAACCACCAATCACTGACGACATTCGTGATCAGCCATTCACAATTGAGCTTTCCTGTAGCTGATCTCCTATTAAATAACGCAGTCAACCAATCCACGCTCTCGCTGTTTTGTATATATGACTGAGGTACATCCATTCCGCCGCAGTGGTCTAGTTTGCTCTAATCGGGTTTGAACATGTGGTGAGTTTCTAACGTCTTTTTCTCTTGGTTGCGTTCTCCGTTTACGGACTAGTAATCAGACTACTTTGTCTTAAATAGTGATATTAAAGCTGAAATCAAAAAGGTCTTTGAACAAATTGACAAGGACAAGTCCGGGAAAATCAGCGCTTCTGAATTGAAGGCTGCTCTCGAAACCTGTTCTAGTGTTCCTCTCGACGACGAGAAGGTGAAGCTCTTCATCGCGCAAGTTGACGCTAATAAAGACGGTGAACTGAGCCTGGATGAGCTGATGAAACTGCTTGGTCATTAAAGCCCCTATTTCATAAGCATTCACTACTATCTCTTGTTAATCCCCTTATAGTGCCACTTTCTATCCTTTTCTCGCTATGTCTGCCTTTATTCAGCTTTATATATATCCAGACCGTGTTTTATTATACGATTAAGATAAAAGAAGCGTTGATTCCCGAGCGAGTGCTATCTTGTTTTGTGGGTGCGGGGTGGTGCTGTTCCACTGCCAGGTCTTGACTAGCTGGTGTTAGTAGTCGAGTGGTGCTTTCGTCCGTGGGTCTTGTGGACTCCTTGAGTGTGCACTGGGGGCGATGCACCCGTTTGCCACTCCTAATTGCGACGAGTATTTCGGTGGATGCCCTGAATGGTTTTTGGTTACCGCCATGCATTGCGACCCCATGTGTCTGTCGGCGACCATTTTGTCGAGGCATTTTGTATTAGTGCTGAAAGCTCCTACTCAACTTGCTTTTATCATCTTCGAAGCTTAGTGGGCTTTCTCGCACTTTGTTTGAGCAGCAGAATAGGGCGGATAAGTCCAAGGAAAGGGGAATGGGGTTTTTTGAGCTCATACTGTGGACAATGGAGATATATATTTGTAACATGGTTCGGAATAATTGCCAACATGAGCAAGGACATAACACCTTTCTGTAAACTCGTGTATATTGCCTACGCCTGTAAGTATCGGTAAAGTTCGTTATTACCATTTTGCCGTAAAGAGTTGAATCTATTAATGACTCAAATCGTTCTGTTACCGCATTGGCTCGTTCCACCCAAGTTTGAACTGCCCCTCCCAGCATATTTGCCAACAAAGTTAGCCTTTGCCTGAGGGATTTGTAGTATAAGTTGGTTACTTCTGAAGGCGTGTCTTTCGATAAGTTTGCTCCTCGGCGCTCCCACTTTATCACAACTTAATTTAATTTCCTTCGACAAATGTCTACCTCGGAAATATCCTCCTGAATAACTGATTTCATATCTAACTAAGTTAACTACACTTAAACTATGCTACTAATCTTGGAATTTTTCGAAATCTACCACACTTAAATTAGGCTTTGATAGCTGTCTCCTCATGTGTGAAGCAAATTACAATTTAAACACAAAACTATTCAATCCAACCGCTATCATGGGCTCAATGACGCTTCACAGTGGACTATATAAAGCTGACTTTAGTTACAACGCTAAAAATGTAACCAGCTTCTAAATTTACAACTTTTAAGCACTTTTCGGAATATGAAAGGGTGCCTCTACTATGGAGCCTCACATGTAGATATTTTATAAACTGGTGTGTGCGATAGACTTGCCTCTCCACGTGATGCGCCCTGGGAAACGTATACTCATACGGCAAAAAAGCCTATAAATCGAAATTTGACTTCTGACTTCAAACCACCACGACCCCCCTGCTTGTCATATTCGACCCCTTCACAGTACTCATCTAGCCTTTTCTCTGCCCTTATGTCTGTCTGTCTCTTTTACATCTGTGAATCGATCTTTTGATCCCCACCCCTCGACTTTCTACTACTTTGATGAACCTTCTCTCTGTGAAGCCCGAAGTCAGCTAAATGGCTAATGATAGCTGTCAAAACACCTGCCATTTGAAATAAATAAACATTCCACCACTCCTACAGTAGACACCTGATCTTACCTTTTTCTCTGCCTTTGTGTCTGCCTTTCTCTTTTACATCTGTGAATCACTCTTCTGTTCCCCCTCTTGCTCTTTTACGTCTGTGAATCATTATTCTGTCCCCCTCTCGGCTTTTACATCTGTGAATCACTCTTCTGTTCCCCCTCTCAAATTATATCGCTTTGTTGTTCCTCCCCTCTGTGAAGCCCGAAGTCAGCTAAGGAGCTAATGATAACTATCAAAGCGCCCTCCATTTGAAATAAATAAATAACTAATTAAATATTTTTTGAGCATCACTTAATTCGGAAATGCGTAAATTCATCTGAAAGGAGCTCCTGCGAGTCCTTCTGTGGTAAAATGCATCTGTGTATCCTCTAATTGCTTTTTGAGAATTCGAAGGGACATAAATGGAGATCCCATGAACATACATTGGATCTGTTTAGTTGATCAATAAAAGCTGAAAATCGTTGAAATTTCCGCGCTCAAGAATAAGGGATCAAGTCTATAAAATTGTGCCTTTTAACATTGGGATATGTCGCAGTGAAATGCACTCACAGAGACAAATAAATGGGGGGGGGGGATTTAAATGACTACTTGCTCTTCATGCAATTTTTCTTACTTATTTACATCTCACTGAAATTCACCAACATTCCCAATGTTTTGAGGCATGTTCGTGATTAAAATTTTTAATTAATTTGGTTTGTCTTGAGTAATAATAATTAATAAATATATCCACTTACTCAAGTTACAACCTATGTACTGGTAGTCCTCAAATTCAAGACATTTGAAGGACGGCAATAAATTGAGCTCTACGCTAATGCCAAACTGATTTATATATTATATATTTACTCCCAACCAATTTATTGAAACGTTAATCAAAATCCCACAGCATTTCTCAGTGTAGACACTGGGACAAATGTCAGGTCATTCGCATATATTAAGGTAGAAAATTAAATTGCGAAATCCAAATGTGAGTAGCTAGTGGTCAGGCTAAAAGAATTCCTCCTTTAAGACACATTGGCCAGACAATAGAAAATATGAGAAAGCTTTCCTCTTGTCAATTTGTGAGACTCGTTTGGAGTGTGCAATAGACCTACCTCCACGTGGTGCACCCTGGCCAACGTATATTCATACGGCAAAAAGTCTATTAACCGGCAGCTGACTTCTCACTTCAAACTGCCATGACCCCACTGTATGTCATATTCGACTACTTCCACAGTACTCACCTCACCTTTTTTCTACCTTCGTCTTTGAAGCACTCTTCTGTTCGCCCCCCCCCCTCTCGAATTGTTTTTACTTTGATGTTCCTCTCTGTGAAGCCTGAAGTCAACTAAAGGGCTAATGATAACCATCAAAATGCCTGCCATTTGATATAAATAAATAAACTTTCCTCTTGTCAATTTGTGATAGACTCGTGGGAAAAATAGAAAAGTGCATAGCCACTCTCGCGGAACCCATTTGCTTATTATTTGATATACTAATGGTTCTTGCATAAAAAGCCCACAGGATTAGTAAATTGTACCAATTAACGCACTAAAACCATATAAAACAATTGTTTGAAACCGTTGTAAGATTGTACCCACTTTGCTGACACAGTATTTAGGGAGTTATGGGTCATTTCCACCACAAAACTATACAATTAGAAGTAACATAATTCATGGACAGTGCAGTAAGAAAATAGCCTTTGGCGTGAGGCGAATATAGCGTCTATTGAAGCGCTGCCTAGGTCATTTAATCGATCAAGCCTCGCTTATCTCGCAAGCAGGCTCAAGGTTATCCTTACGTTTAACATTTGGCCCATATAATCAAAATTTCGGTTTATCGTCAAATGTTCATTTTAAACATAGAATTTAATGAAATAAAAATACAGACATTAATAGGATATTTGCTAATTTTTTCAGTTATGTGATTCCTTTTTACAAAAGGAATTGTCTAACTGAGGTAGAATTCCACTACTGCACCCTTTAAATTAATTGACAGGGCTAAATGATTGCAATTAGTCATTGTGCGGACTGTTGTTTGGATTAAGTGTTCGATTAATGCCCCCTGAAGTGGAATATTTGAAAGGGGGTAAATTTACCTTTGGAGATATAAACAGATAAAATTGGAGGTGGGGATTATAAGATTAATTGTAACCACTCGGTGGGTACAAATTCTATTTGTGTGGTAACACATCTCACGCTTGGAGATGCCTTTAGAGTCATAGCGTGTGGCTTTAAACATTTTTGCATTTTGAAATTCTCATGCGGGTCACGTGAAGTATTGGAAAGCGATTTATGCGTGCGTCTCAATCATGTCACAATGTGATATGCTCGCATACCTACTGGCCTTTTCCAAGTGCCTGTCCATGCATCTAATACTTTGCCAGCCCACGTGATGAATATTAGTCATTATCTTGATGAATTTGAGAATTGCCACCATTAAGGCGCCCCAAAAATCTTAATGATAGCTTGCGAAATGTGGACACTTAGGGGAATTGATTTAATTCTGCAGATATCTACTAAGGGGAGGTAAATAGTAAATAGTCATAAAAAGATGTGAAGGAGATTATTATTACCCTCATTAGGAATTTCAAAAAAGCTTTATATGCTCAATATAGCTTCCAAAATTTATCATTTAGGAAGGTATTTCTACCTCAAATTTATACTACCTGTTGGAATACGGTTCACGATTGTCTATCGTAAGCTTCTTTCAACATTTTACCAGACATAGTGAGAAAGTCGTATTAGTTTAGCTTAATCAATGTGTATCGAACCCGAAATCAATAGCTTCATAAGTCGTATTTAGTAAAATTCACCTAGTTCAGACAATTATCTTTCCTCCATATTAGTAAGAAGGACATGCAATTCCCGTTTGGTTGGCCCTTCTTGTATTAGGATACGGTCACACCCCGTTTCTGACACCTTGTCATTTAGTTTGGACAGGTCCCTATGAGATAAATGCAATTAGTCGTCTTTCGAAGGAAACCACCTGAAATTTTGAGAATATGATTTAATAAACGTTTTATTGAATGGCTTCCTTGATGTATATAGATGACATAGATCATAGATCACAGAGCATAGACACAAAACCATTGCCCGACGAACTGCCGAAATAAATAAATTACAAGTTTTGAGTTTCTCATCAGAGCATCTACTGACTGGCTTTTTTCTTTATTTGTGGAATTGGTCTTAGCTCAATCACCTTGTCACTGTTATCATTTGAGTGCACCCTTATAATTGTCCCCTCCCCCATTTTAAGCGGACAAAGGTGCAGCCTTGTGTATTAACGTAAATACAATTCGCACTGGAGTTCGATAAATCATTTCAGAGTAAAATACCTTTAAGAGACCGGAAATGACCATTCAGGTGTTAATGCCAGTCCAAGCTAACTTCTATTTAAATTACGTGTTTATTTAATGAATAAACAATCGAGACTGACTCATAGCTTATAACGGCTGAGTAAAAAATTACCCTTTCTTTCAATGCGAGACAAAACTGTTTTAAGTTTCTTTGTTGTTTTAATGACTTCAATTTGTGGAGGTTGAATTAATCTACTTGAAGGAATTTGTAACGACTATTGAGATGTTTTTACATTTGATTTTTGGCATTAGCTTGTTTCCCGTTTCTTCAAAAAGATTTAAACGAAGTTAATAAAAATAAAAAGATATCTTACACTTTCTCAACATAAGTGGCATTTTGGAATGACATGTGCTTATTACTTGTCCAAAGCGAGGTAGGGGTTTATCCACAGTTGGTATTGATTAGTCACCATCACCACCTTTGGCTAGCTATGAAATCCTTCTGGAGGCTAAAATTCTCTCAAGGAATGCTT